TTACCAATGAATAGTGGGATTGACCATCACATTATAATGCCCCCATGGCTGAAAGGGTAAGCATATTTGGTGAGACACAGATTCAAACCTGCAACCCTCAGATCACCCTAACCACCTGGCCATGCCAGGCCTTGTTGTATAAGGAGAGGGTAAGGTTTTTGAAAATGTCTTCTCTTGATAAAATAAGAGTCAGAAGGAACTGATTGAGGTGCTTAAGACAAGACCTAGTAAAACCTGGAACCACACCAAATGCTTACTCTTTCTTCTGTCTGCATATACAACATAAAATTATTGTGAAATCACATTTTATATATTCATAATTCATAAGAATGTTGCCAGAACCACACAAAATGTGCCTGGACGGGCCATTTAATCAACTCCAATCACCTTAAAAACCACACCAAATGCTTTCACTTGCTTCTGTCTGCATAATAAACTTATTGTGAAATTACATTTTATATTTCATAATTCCTTGAAATGTTGCCAGAACAACACAAACTTGCTTGGAAGGGCCATTTGGTAAAATTTGATTGTATTAAAAACCACACAAAATGCTCTCTCTTGCTTCTATCCACACAGACAACATAATTATTGTGAAATCATATTTCATAAGAATGTTGCCAGAAATACACAAATGTGCCCAGACAGGTAGCTAAAACATGTCTGTTCATCTCCTAACCAATTTCATGTCATTACTCATTCCATACACATCAAAAAGAATTATTCATCTATGGCTTTTCAATTTATTATTAATAAGTAAAAATGTTACTGGATCAACACAAGTGTCTGGACAAGGTGCTAAAATGAGTTTGTTTGTCTCCTAACCTATTTCATGTCATTACTCATTCCCAAATGTATACATACGAGCTTTATTAAACAGTTTTGCTAAAAGTAACATGTTTTCTTATGCTACATTACCCTTTTGTTTGTCTACTGTGGTTGCAAATTCATCAAATAGTCTTTGCAGAGAAAAGGTAAAAATCAGATGAGCAATGGCCCATGGGTCATAAAAAGAAAATGGCCGAGGACTATGTTTCTAAATGTAAAAAAAAAAGTCTTTGAAATTTTCAATAGAAAAAAGTGTTACTGTGTATTAATTTTGAAATGACTTCTTATGTTAAGATTTATTGAACAATTGAGGTAATAATATATTAAGCATTCACTGAAGCTAATTCATTTACCAATTATTCCAGAGATAATGGTCTTTTGTTGTGCATTTACCACTTTCCTACCATCTTGTGAAATGAAAAATAAACCCCCAAATATCCCAGAAATTTTAAACAAAAATAAAAACCTAAAACGAAAAACTCTACCAATAATACACGATAGAGTTAAGGAAGTTTTGAATTCCCTGATACCTTGAAGTGTGTTATTGCTCTTATAAAACAATTACAAAATATAAACATTTTATTGCAGATGTATGAGGTGAGGATAATCCACAAGAAATACATGTGGTACTGGAGCTGTGTTTGACATGCTGATGGGTTACTGCAATGTATTTACAATGTACTACTTCCAGATTTAGTTTCAAAGTGCTACTACTAAGTCTCCATTGGTAACAGAATCAATGGTAGAGTAGTGCATCAATACTAGCAAATGAAAGGAAAACCACATGGCAAAATCAATGAAAGTAGAGTACATGGTCGCGTGTTAATGAATTACAGGATAAATGCAGGAATGAAAATATTTACTAAAAACTGATCAAAATAGCTTGGAAAATAAAAGTGGCTAACAGAAAGTTGAATGTCCCACTGTTTCAAATGCTACATTGAACATGTAACTGAACTAATAATTTCCTAAAATTTTATGTTGATAGTTACCGTAATACATTCAGGAATTCATACAGTTTCAAACTGTAACTTATTTGATGTAGTGTTTCAACACTGAACAGCATAGAACTTGACTGTGTGATCAAAAGTAACAAATTTTTATGCAATAGACTATGGAATACTTTCATCAAATCTCATTGCTCATGTAACTACAATCTAATCAAATTTACACCTTTTGTGATTTTCAGGATACTTTGTGTTCATCCTGAAAAATGTTTACTTATATATAATAAAAAAAAAAGAAAAAAAGAAAGAAATCTGCTATAATTATTATACTTGTTACCATTTCAGCTGTAGCTAAAGATTAATAGTTTGATATCATTTTCAAGTTGATCAGAATTGTTTTAATGGCTTATTTGACAAATTTTACCTTGGTTTGGTTTTTCACTTATTTCCCCATCACCGGAACTTTTATGTTGGTCCTGCAACATTTTTTTATTACTTATGAAAATATGAATTATGCTTTCAGAATAATTTTATGGTTTCTAATCAAACAGAAGTATGAGAAAGCATTTGGCACAGTTTTTAAGGCATTTAGAGTATATTAAATGGTCCTTCCAGGCAAATTTATGTTGTTCCAGAAACATTTCAATGAATTATGAAACTATGAATTAAGCTTTCACAATAATTGTATGGTTTCTATATGGACAGAACTTACAAAAAAGCATTTGATGTGGTTTTTAAGGTAATTGGAGTAGATTAAATGGCCCATCCGGGCACTTATTTAAGGTTCTGACAACATTTTTATAAATTATGAAAATATGAATTACAATTCCACAATAATTTTATGTTGTCTATGCTGACAGAAGTTTGAGAAAGCATTTATGCAGTTGTTAAGGCAATCAGAATTGATTAAATGGACTGTCCAGCATATTTTTCATTGTTCCGGCTTTCACATATTCCCATTTAAGACTGTTAAGGGAATTGATAGTATCATCTTTTTTATACTTAATGATAAGAATAACAGAATTAGGATAAACAAATATGAATTTTGGTATGGTAGGCGACACTTTCAGCTAAGACAGTTTTATTTCTCCAACAGGGTGGTTGGCCTCTGGAATGGGTTGCCTTTATATATGACAGAAGCAGTAATTTTAGAGGAAGTTTGATAAATATTTGAATGATGAGAGCTGGTTTAGAGTGTTTTTTTTTTGTTTTTTTTTTACAGTAGTTTAGTGGATAGAATAACCTGGAACTACAAAGTTGATGGGAGCCAACGTATATTTTGTTGTCCGTGAATTTTGTTATGTAACATCTTTCTCAGTTAAATCTCCTCTATCCATCTTAAAAAGTTACAACTCCGCCCTAGTTTACTTTAGTTACCTTCAACTAAACCCAACTTAATAATGTAACTTAACAATTTGTTGTTTAGGGTTAATTTAATACAATTAATAGTATTAGTATAGTATTACTAATACTAAAATAATAGTAATACTACTACTAGTAATTTTCTAAATCTCACTCTCAATTATAATACATACTTTTATATATTCGGAGTAATATCACCTATTTATGCAAAAATAAAAATTTATGACATTACAAAACATCACACGAGTTTCTATATCAGAACAACAGTCACCATATCAAAACCAACACACAAGTTGCCATCTGTGAAAGATTAAGTTTGGTTGTAAATATGATTGGTGTAAGAGGCCGTTAAATTATTATAAAGAATTCTCCCTACCCTCTCAAAAAACAAACAAACAAAAAAAAACATAAAAGAATAGACAAAATCAAAACGATATGCGGTATATGTGAGAATTATTTTCACATTATCTCTAACTATACATCAAATATAGTTCAATTAAGGTAACATCAGATTAAAAAAAAAGTATCGAAATGGAATTCGAAAACCAGGGTGTAGCATGAAGACGCACAAATAGAAGAACAATATGGACACAATGTGACCATAGTTTACTACAAGCGACTTTAGATATTTTATGAATTAAAGCACCATTTCCTTAACTTTTGTTGTAAAATACCTCAAGATATAAATTGGTGTCAAATACCAAAATTACTGCTAATAAAAGTTCTGGTTAGGGCGCTTGACTCCCAATCTGAGGGTTGCAGGTTCGAATCCCTGTCCCACCAAATATGCTCGCCCTTTTAGCCGTGGGGGCGTTATAAAGAGACCATTAATACCACTATTTGTTGTTAAAAGAGTAGCCCAAGATTTGGCAGTGAGTGGTGATAACTAGTTGCTTTCCCTCTAGTCTTTCACTGCTGAATTAGGGACGGCTAGCGCAGATAGTTGTCGTGTAGCTTTGCGTGAAATTCAAAACAAAATAAAAGTCCACCCCTCTTCCCATTAGGGTATTGATAAAATTAAAATCAAACCCCAGAGGGAAAAATGCTATATTAATAAACTGTATTTTTTATTATTTCCACATCAATGTTTTGATTATTGCAAGTTTTTCCCTCTCAACATCTGAAGTAGATTGTATGTTTTTGGAAACCATGACTTAGTGTTACAAATTCACTTAAGATTTTTAGAAACAAAATGAAATAATTTGTAAGGAATACCAACTTCTTTTTCAATTTATAGTCAAGGAATTATTGTATCGGTCTTTAATATGAAGTCTATAGACTCAACGATTGTCCAGAAAAAGTACTTTTATTGTTATAGACCATGGTTGTAGGATATGCATCATTATTACAAAGAAACTACTTTTATCACACTAGTTAAGTATATGCTACTGTATTCCGATGGGCGTAACCAAAACACCATTAAGTTTTTGAGTCTTGGCGCATCATAAATACAAATTAAATCTTAATCGAGACAATGGATCTTAATATTGTTGCGTCAGCGAGTCACGTGACCACTGTGGCGCCCTCTAGTTTCTAGAACTATCTTGTT